TTCTTCAGCATTCGACGTATTTACTTGTATGGCACAGTCACTTTTCTCGAATCAAACACAGTTAACTGTAATTATTTTGCTAGTTGCTCTATTTTGTGAGCATTTGTTACCTGTTGCGCCTCCAACTATCCACAACATTAAACCTTGAAGATTTAACATGCGCAGACATCAAACAATACAACAAAACATGTTATGTGCAGCTTTGCCAAGCAGCTGCGTCTGGGCCTAAAAATAAGGCCAATTTAGAAGTGCCTAAGTGACTCGAAGACAGTCAGAATTCTGCACTTGTTAGCATGAGCACTATTAAAAAGAGTTAGAAATTTGAGACACAGCAATGGTGACTGATTTTAAAATAAAACTAGTGACCCAAACTGAAACAATATCTCGTGATTTTAGGAAAATTAACTACTGAATGAGTGTCAAATGAAAGTGTTCGTAGATTAGCCGTCATTTCATACATTTCTTGTCTAGCTGGTTCGATCAGTACAACAGGAAGCCATCTAACCATCAACCACAGTGAAATGGCTTTACATAAGTGCTTCTACTTTTTAGCGCCTCATTCTGGCCACAGCTGACCAAAGAAGAATTCTTGTAATATTGACTAATCTCCTTGTTTTTCTCTTTTTCTCTCTTTTCGTCTGTGCAGCGGATTCGGTTGTAGGTCTGTCCTGCTGCCGTAACGTCAGCACCAGGAAGATAGCACGGATCAAATGGTGCTATGAGCAGAAACCACGCGAGGGCTGCAACCACCATGCTTTCTTGTAAGATCATCATAATTTAAACACGCTCACGCCACTCACAATGTTTCCATACATGTAAATATTAAATAGCTGTCTCTGGACTTTTTCTCGCCCAACATTTGCCACCGTGGGCTTCACCGTAAATATAAATAATGTATGAACTTCTTTTCTAAAGTTTAATGTGGTGGGAAGAACTGTTAGTGTGATTCCCACTGTTGATCTTAAATCTAGATAAGAACAGGGGGAAATAAAGATACAATATTGCTGGGGCAGAGGTGTTACATTCAGTTTCACTGATGGCTACACTGAGAAATGACAATGACATCAAGGTCTACCATAGTTTTCCAGTGTATTTTCATGTAATTGAAAATAAATGCTCATTATAGCCTTCTTCTGTGCAATTTGGTTCACATATTTGCCCTCAGCAACTCCACAAAACTTTTATAACATCCACCAAGGCAGTTTACCTGTACAGCTTAGCAATGTGAGGAAATTAAACCAGCCTAAAGTTTTAAAACTTCGGTTGAACAAACATGCTCTTTCCAGTTCTGTAACTTTCTGAAGCTTCTGATTCACATGCATGACTGTGTCTTTGCTGGTAAGTGGAATTAAACCTCAAAAGAAGAAAACAGTAAAAATGAAACTGTTGCAGGCAAGGTATGCAAGCCGCTCTTCACATTCAGTAAAGATGAAGGCTGCACAGTCTGCCACCTCACCTGAAGCTCTCTGTTAGCTAGATTGTTAGCTGCCTTTGCTGCCTAGAGCTAAGCAGGCCAAAATTGTAAAGAGGTAATATAGCTATTACCTGGAAGACCAGATTTGAAATGAATATCATAAATTTTGTAACTGACTTTAACTGATGTTTCTGCTCCTAGGATTGCAAACCAGCGCCATAAAGATAAACCATGGTGTGTCAACCCAAATTCTAAGTGGCTCAAGGACAAAATACAGAAGGTAACATGAAGCCAGACTGTAGATCTGTGTCTGAACTACCAAAAAAGTGTAAATTAGTGGTTCACCTTCTCATACCACATTAAATTGCTTGTGATTTTATTTAATTTCAGATAATTATTTGCGTTGAAATCTGAACCAAAGAAAGTCAATTCAGACCAAGGATAGAGGATTAAGGAAAAATGGAACTTTGTCTTAATCTACTCATCTACACATGTAATTTATGTACATTATTTATTAGCTCTATTAGTAATGTAAATTAGTACAGCCCTGAAATAGCTGAATATTTCCTTTTTTCTCCCGCATTTGCACATGTTATCTAGTTATCGCATAGTTTCAGATGCTAGTCACACTGCAGATTTACATTTTACCACTATACGGTTTGTGGTTTGCCTTTTTATCTGAGATAGTGTCATCAGTGTACTGCTGGAGAGTGGGCACTCATCAGTTCTTTCACCAAAGTTCAGCTGCTTATAACAAGCTCGTGTCCTTTCAATCTAGTGTTTCCATTTAGCTCATCAACTGTTTTTATGATGTCCTTTAGTTGTTTTGAATATCTTAAACCTGCACTCTTTCTAATGGCCAGCAGGGGGCGACGCATCTGATTGCAAACAGACTTCTTGTTGTATAAAAGCTGCTCGTTTCAGGTCATATTGGATAGAACAACAAGCTCAATTTGTAAATTGTGATAATGCTGAGAATTAGAAAGATGGATATTCAAAATATGCTCTTTGGTTAACAGCTTTACTCATCATGTCCCATTCCAAAACACCACAATCACCATCGTAGCGATGAATCTAAAACCAATGGGAGACATCACTGTCACAGCTACCATTTAATAATTTAATTCTCCTGTATTTAAACAATATATCAATAAAATTTGGAAGTAGATCATCTCCTTTTTACATGATCAGTGCGATGTGAAAGATTACTAAATGTAATCTTTAACCTCTAGTCTACATCTGTTGTCAACCACTCAGGTTAAAGGTGTAGAGGAGGTGTTTGTGAAGACCTCTCATTAAAAGTTGTCAAAGATCAAAATCACAGGGGAAAGTACTTTTAGGAAAGTACTTTCAGATTCGGCCTCAAAAGCTGGTCAACCAATAATGTCAACACTTTAATTAGAGATGCCTGTTGAAAGGAAACCCCCCATAAAGTGAAATGTAGGAGGTGCAAACCACTTGTTAATAAGCGCAGCACCCACATGTTATCAGGTATGAAGCTGGTGGAAGGTGGTGAGTCCCCCCTGCTTGATCCGTGGAAAGCTGGTTTCATGGACCGAGGGAACATTTATTAATAAAACGTATTAAAATACTTCTCTGTATGTAATAAACTCGTCTAACTGTATCTTTCCTTTTCCTACATTTGCAGGGAGAATTAAACTGCCCTCAAGATCTGTCATTATTAAATGAAGTTCCCAACAAGCCAACAACAGCATGAAGTAAAACAGCAACGTTTTATCCTGAAATACTATTTATTTCTTTTACATACATATCTATTTAAAATACAAGATATTTTTTTAAAGTAACTGGAAAAATGATCATTGTGGTGGCATTATTTTATTAAGTTGTTGTACATTTCAACAATAAAAGTGTCTTTTTGCATGTTAAAAGGAAAATGTGTCTGATGGCATCTCTCTTGTTTGTCTGTGATGGCTGTGCTGGAGTGATTTCTGGGTTGATTCAGTTTGATGTGTAAAACAGCAGCATTTAGAACAAATATATGACAAGCAGACGCATTAATTTAAACAGGTGCAAATTTATTGTCCACGTATCTAACTGGGATGTGCATGACTCGTCGATTATACATAAACATGTTGTTACTAGTCGAGATTCATCAACCCAGGCAATGTTATTGCCATCTCCAGTTATACAGTTTTGGAGCCTGCGAGTGTTTATACGCATATGTGGAGTAAACTCCTAACGTCCACACAGGATAATTTGCTTGATGATGAATGATGCCCTGTACTCTTTAGTGAGCTCTCATTTCATCCAGATGCCGAAGTTCATTGAAGGTAGCATGTTTTCGACCTTACAGCACACCCTGACAACTTTTGTTTTATTAAGATTAATACTACCAAACAAGCAAATCATAGAGAGCAAAAGTCAATGAAAGAAGAAAAAACATCTGACTTGGCTCATCAGTGTCAGTTACATTGTTTCCTCTGTTTTAGTCTTGTATATAAAGTAGGCCATTTTCTTCTCAGAAGGGAAGTTTGATTTCCCAGCATCTGTGCAGCTTTCTTGGTATATTAGCAGCAGCCAGTGTCTCCTCACAGATGGTACCGATATTGCAATTATAAATATGTTATTAAACAACACATATGCAATTGCTTCACAGCAGCTTACTTTGGAACTACCACTCTAAAATGTCCCTTTTGTGTGACGACATATAGTCCATTGGGGTTTATAATAGATATTATCAGGTATAAAATCATAACAGAAACTTATTAACCTGGAATAAACTATATGACAAACCTCAACACAGTAGGAAGGAAGCTACCCACCACACAACTCTGTGGGAGTTTATTTTTGTGTAAATACATCATCAAACAGCCCCTAATTCAGTGACAAGCTACAGTATATAAGATGAGCCGCTGTCACACTTTGACAAGTTCATCAGCTGGTAACAAACCTGTTCACAGCTCAGATCCAGACTCAGATTTGGTGCCTTTCAGCGTCTCAACATGTGTTCGAGTCTCTCCACCAGCCGCCTGATTCTTCTGATCTCCCTGAGTGTGATGATGCTCATCTCTGTATCAGGTACACTTTTTATTTCTGGAGTTTGCTTGTTGTCAAAGTTCAGTAACAACAGCTAAAAGTCTGTTTCTCAACATGGTTATAATCTATCTGACCTTAATGTAACTTTCTAACTGACAACTAACTGTGCTAGAAAGAGACTAAAGCTAGCACAGACTGTAACAGAGCAGTGTTTCTGGACAATTATAACTGAATAAAAGAGGGTTTGGGGTTGTTGTTTTTTGGCTTCATGGAGCAACTCTGGACAAATTTAAAACACAACTTCAAGATCTGTACCACTGATAAAAAACAGGTGTATTTTTTCAGTAATGTGATTTTTCATATTCACATAATAACGATCAGTAAATTATTTATACAACATCTGAGAGTTCAGCTTATTTAACTCTCCATGATATCTGAAAGGCTCTGAAGAATAATGACAATGTGTGTGATGATGTGCTGCAGGGGCTGACCACGTGGGGAAAAACTGCTATGAAAAATCATTCTAACAAAATGTGAATAAACCACGATCTACACCTAAATGGGCAAAAAACATCATCAGCTGCTTTGAACAAAGACAACAATGCCTTGCATGGCTATGAGTAAGTAGAACTTCTTCTAAATTCACTTAAACCAAATAAAATGTAGAAACTAATTCTTGATTAAAAATCCACAAACACAACAATGAAAATGAGATTTGCACTGAAACCTTGATGTAGCAGATAAATGTTCCCCTCTCTAACATACAGCACTACTGTTTGCTCTGTGATTGTTTCTAATGTGGTGACGTTGGGGAATCTGTGAGTTTGTGCTTATGAGCTTGGAGGAAACCTGAGCTGTTCTCTCACAGCATAATGCAAAATGGACCCTGCACATGTTCAGTTAACAATAAAGTGAAAATGTCCAATCCTTCAATTTTTCTTCCTCTCTCTAAACTTCTTTCTTTATCCTTCTGTTTTTTTCTTCCAGAGTCAAAACAAGTGGAAATAGAACATTTTTCCTCAGACCAAACACCGAGTGGCTTAAAAGGAAAATAAATAATGTGAGAAACAAATTATTTATAAAAATGTGGACACAAAGTTTAGAAAAACCAGCAGTGACTTTCTAGCAAAAGTGTGAAGATTATAATATAGGTAATAAAAAGACACTGTGTACATCTGTCTAATGGTGCTTCACCTTCTCTCTTTCACCACCACAGGGAGCTCTGCCGTGTCCTCCAGTGATTTCTAAATCATGATGATGGAAACGATGAAACAAAGTAAAGCAGCAAATGGAAACAGTTCTGCTGATTTATGATTTCACACTTTTACAGAAATATTTGTTAAGAAATGATGATTATTGTTTGTAAATTATAGATAGAAATTAAAAACCACTTTTGTTTTCATATTTAGTAAAAATGTCATTAAATATGAATGTTCGATTTTTTCTTATTCTATCTTCAAGCTGTGAACAAAGACAAAATCAATAAAAGCCTTTGAAACTGCATTCTTTAATGGTCTGTGTGATCATTTACTAATTACTGTAAAAAATGTAACTAATGAGATATCACAGCTGTGAGGTGCTGCATGTGAGATGCGAATAAAATGTAGATGTATATAAAATTAAAATGAACACATCAGATACCCCCATGACTCTAGTGGAGGAGAATGCACATTCCCTGTTTATGTTAAATTTCATTAGTTATATTTCATTAATGTTGGGTTGCAGGAGCAGCAGACTGAGCACAGACACTCATGCCTCCCTCCCCTCAAGAAACACGCACCGTTATCATTCCTTACGCTGCACATGATATTCCCACTCCTCACCTTTAGCACCTCTCACTACAGATGCCAGTGGAAAAGGTGAGAAAGAGATATAAGAGCAGATGAAACAGGAAGTCAACACACTCAGACATCCTCGCCTTGTTTTAAAACATAAAAACACATTAGGAAAAGACACACCAGTTCCTTCTTGATTACAGCTCCTCCTGCAGCCTCCTCACTCTGTCCACTAAATACAAATTAGAGTTTGTGACATCTTTCAACTTGGAGTGGGAACAGGCACGAATCAGAGAAAGGAGAATGGTGACTTGTCTTTTATTGCTATAGTGATTGTGGATTCTTGTAGTTACACTTCCTTTGTTCTTCTTTAATTCCATATTACTGTTGTGTTGTGTAGGGTTCTATCTTTATGTCTTGTCTTTGTTTTCTCCTATTTTTACAAATAAATCTGGGAAATAAAATTCTCAATCTCTTCAAAGTGGTAGAGCAGCTCACTCAGAGGGTGTACTCGTTAGAAGCCCAAAATACTGGAGCTCTACTCTGAGCGCCTTCTGAGACTGAGCCCAGAAACCCTTTAGAGAAAGTTTATTTCCACTGCTTCATTCATTGATATTTTTGTCTGTATCCAACAACATGTGGCCATTTGTGAAGGTGGTGACTACAATCACCGACCCTGTGTTGGATACATAAACCCACAGTTTATCTTTCCAGCTATGAATGCAAGAGGTAAGAGGTCATGTTGATGTTGGCAGCACATGACCAATCAGAGACAGGGATACGTAGATGACCCAGGGGATTAAAGGGAGAGAGTGTAAAGCAGTGGGTGCTCACTGAAAACAGTAACATTTTAGCTAAAGTGTGAAGATTATAAATGAAATTAAAGGTTATAAAAAGACACTTTGTATATCTGTCCAATGGTGCTTCTTATTTTTCTTTTCATGTCATCTTCTCTCTAAGCAACACAGCTACTGGAAACAGTTCTGCTTATTTATTAGTTCAAATATTGTACAGAAATATTTGTTATGAAATGTAGATAGTTTTCATGCAAATTATTGATAGAGCTTTAAAAACAGTTTTGTGGTCATATTTATCTTTTAGTTTTTTTCTAAATGATATTTCTCATGTTTGATAAGATTCATTACAAAACTTGAAACATTCCAGTGCTTTCCACTGTTTGCTCTGATGTAGCTGAGGTGTTAACATAGTTTAACAAACACAATGGAGTTAATGAGTAAATAACGATCATACTTTCAACACATAATGACTTCAGGGTGGCTGTAGCTCAGGCAATAGTGTGGGTCACCCACTAAACAGAAGGGTTGGGGGTTCAATCCCAGTCTGTACACCAACCCAATGTTGCTCTTGGATGAATCCATCAGAGTATGAATGTGTGTGTAAAGGTAGGCATGGAAGCATTTAACAACATCTTAGAAAAAACAATTAGGTGAATGAACAAGTTGTGTAAAGGTCTAGAGAAGTGTAGAAAAGTGCTACATAAGAACAAGTCCATATACTCAAAATTACTTTTACATTAAATAATTTTCTTTAAAATATAATAAAAATATATAAAAACTATGAATAAAACTGAATTCAATTGAACTGAATTGAAGATGTGATGAATCCAGGGAACCTCCAGGGGGAGCAATATTTACAGAATTAATTTACAGGACACTGAATAACTGGTTTTGGTTTAGAATTAATTCACATATCCACATAACACTGCATTCTAAAATGTGTGTGCACATTTTAGTTTACACTGTTATGTATGATTAATCCTTGTTTTCTGAGTTACCTTCGTTGCAGCTGCTTCAGTCCCTTGATTAAGGAGCCAATAGGTGGGTAAGGGGCAGAGCGAGCCATAACTTGGGACCATAGGAGAGTCATTATGCTAGTTTCAGTTAGGTCAGTTTTTAGTTATCAGTATGTTTTGTTTTTTCTTTTAACTTTGAGCAGAGTTCTGTTATTTTGACCTCTTTTATGGGCCCAAGATTTTGATTCTTATTGCCTGATTTGACCAATTATGTTTTGGGGTCACATAAAAATTCCATTTTATCCTTTTTTTGGACTTTAACCTGTGTCTAAGTTTCCTTCGCTGCTCGGTACATCACACAGCCAAACAACTATAAGTGAAATGAACACGGTCCACAGGTGCCAGGCAGAAAAGGAATCATCAAATGTGACCCAACAGCTACATGAACTCTACATGTCTGTGACCAAGATGAACTTAACATGCCAGCTGACCCTGAACAGTTGGTGGCACACACAAGTGTAATATTTTCCACAAAGAAGTCCCTAATACAGCAACATAAAAGGAATTTGTTTGACAGTCTTCGTTGGATTGACTTTTGAACGACAGGAACTCACTGTATATTTATACGAGTCTAGAATGATTTGTGGAGCCATCTAACCAAGTGTGGGGTCAAAGGTTCAAACAATTGTATATAAACACAAATTCTTTGACTGTGTAATCAATTTGCTATAAGATGAAATTAATTAGGACAATAAGGAACAACCCAGAAGGAAACAAGTAGATGACATCACTGTCATGGCTACCTCTGTCTTACTGTCTATGGCAGGCCACTTCTAGCACCGTCATCTCATTGGAGGGCCACCTTAGTGTTCAAGTAGTACAAAAAAAACAAGAAAAGAAAAGAAAACACCCACTAATATTTCCAAAAATGTAATGTTTCATTTGTTTTAACACGAACATGGTGTAGAGTCGAGTCTTAACAGCTTACTTAGAACTGGGCTCATCAGGCACTCTTTTTGGCTGCAGTGGCCATTATCATAATATATACATGCTTCCAGCTCCCGTTTGTGGTCGCTAGCACCTCGTACTTTTCGACTTTACTTTTTCTCCCACCATCGCGCTCGCACACAAACAGCGGGAGGGGCAGTCCCACACGTTCTCCCTGCAGCACGGACTACACCGCCCATGCGGCTACAGTCATAAAGGGCCATGCCTGTAACTCTCTGCTCCTATTGCCTTCATATGAAATCATTTTTCGAATAATATTTTTAAAAAACATTTCTTCACATCAATATGCGGGTCACAAGTAGAGGTGATGTGGGCCGCAAATGGCCCGCGGGCCGTGGTCTGTGCTCTTCCACCTGCTTTTTTAAACATATTTTTCCCCCTGAGCTCAAACACTTTATTAATAAAGTTTAGAAATAGATCATCACGTACCTTGTGTTAAAGATCACTAAATGGTAATCTTAAGCCTCTAATTTAAGGTCTGTACCTGTTGACAATTGCTAAGTGTAGAAGCAGTTTCTGTGAAGCCCACTCATTAAACGCTATTAAAGACAAAGTCACAGGGAAAGTCCTCTTAAATGTGGCCACAGAAGCTGATCACCCAGTAATGTCACTGTTTTATTCTGAGATGTCTTTGAAAGGAAACCACCATGAATTCAGATGTGGGAGGTGCAAACCACTAATAAAATCAACACCCACAGATTAACAGGAACGAAACTGGTGGAAGATCACGTCACAGAGAGTCCCCGTGCTCAGCCAATGGAAAGCCTTTCCACACACCGAGGGAACATTTGTAATAAAACATGTTAAAATACTTCTCTGTATGTAATAAAATAACTAACTTTACCTTTCCTGCTCTCTCTTTTCTTTTCTCTACATTTCAGAGAGGATTAAACTAAAGATTTGTCATTAATAAACTAAGTTGTGTGCAAGTTTCCAACAAGTCAACAAAAGAGTGAAACAAAAACATTCATTCTCCATCTGTTTATTAGAGATGCGACGGACTACTCAACAATCCATTTAAACCAGAGCTTCCCAAAGTGTGGGGCCTGCCCCCTGTGGGGGAGAGGGGGCGCAGAGCCATTGCAGGGGGGGCACGGTATGAAAAGGAAAAAAAAATGAAACGCTTGGACACTGCTAGTGATCGATGTAGCGATTCTGTGCTGTTGAGGGGAGCACGGCATGGCACGGGGGAGATGACAATGATCTACAGCCGATCATGACACAGAACACAATGCGCTTTAAAAAAAAAAAAATCATGCAAGGCGAGGCTTCAAACGGTGAACCGCGTTATAGCGAGGGACCACTGTAATTGTGAAGATAAGTTCCAACATACCCTTCGTAAATACTAACATATAGAGACCCTTGCCCACAATCATTCATGTATTTTTTTATGTCCTGTGGCTTTTTTTCCCGGTTTGTTGACATGCTGTGTAGGTGTGTACTGATATCGACATAATGGGGAAACATCTGGCTTTGACTATTGTTCACCTGTAGTTTGAATGCTGGACATTTTCCTGTTCTGCATGCAGTAATGCAGTTCTGCTTGTATGTTGAGTGATGTAAACAAACAATCGATCTATGCACTTCAAACATCAAATTGATCATTTGATATTTTTTTTATGACACAGCCATGGTGAGTGTTCCCACCCTCTGCTCTTTGTAACTTAACGTAATCTTTCCGTTTTCGTATTTTGGACATGATTTTTGAGTCCACCTTCGCAGTAGCAATTGACTGCAAAATAAAGCTACCGGAAATGTACAACCCTACATCCGGTCTTAAAACAGGAAGTTAGCATTTTCTCGTGCACAGGGTCTAAAACGTGGCGCACAGCGTGACGTGAAAAAAGGCACATACCTTTGACAGTTGCGTG